AGCTACTGAAGGATATCCTAAGAAGAAAGGTGAGACACTAAAGCATCAGACACATATTCTTTGGCATTATCCGAATGAAGAGCACGAACAATGACATCAAATTATGTCTTAACCATCTGAAGAAACTAAGTGATAATAGGGAGTATATCGCACTTTCTATGCAAAAGACACTCAATTACAACGACTATAGTCATCTATAAATGTCATATAGTATCGAGCACCTGACAGAGTAGTAATAGGGGAGGGTCCCTAAATATCAGAGTGTATTTGGTCAAATAGTTTAGGTGACTGATACATGCGAAGAATATAACTGATCATAACATGTTTCGATAACGAACATATAATACAGTCAGGTTTACCACAAACACAAACATTACTCAAATTAGGAAACAACATACATAAATATTTAAAATTTATATGCTTAAAATGGTCATGCCACAACTGAACAGTTTGTGACGAAAAATCATAATGACAAGTACTAGGTAAAATACTAGCATGTAAGTTAGGAATAGATAAAGATAAAGCAAGTGCAAGTGACGTAAGTGTAGGAACTAGTGAAACGGGAGGTGGGTCGCCTAGATAATACAATTCATCTCTCTCATGTCCCCTAATAATAATCCTCCTAGTACTCAAGTCCTGCAAATAACACGAATCAGATAAGAACACATCACACAGTGAAAATCTCTAGCTAACTAATGTACAGATAATGGATTCATTGCCAGCTTTGGTGCATGAAAAACCAAATGTAATGCAAAGTCATTTGGGAGGCAGATTGTACCCCTACTAACAATAGGGGCATGCGTCCCATCTGCTAGCTGAATCTGTTTATATAACTGCTCGTCAAAAGTGATTAAGTGATGAGCCTCACCTGTCATGTGACCCTTCGCACCCGAGTCCAGCATCTAAAGGAGAGACGGACTGGCGCAAGCATGAAAGGAATGAAGTATACTTGTAGTGGTCGCCATGGCAGTATCAGACCCTAAGAAATCAGAACTGATATAAGTATATCCAATCGAAAAATGATAGCATCCATATTACTCTACCAAAGAGAAGCAGTAACAGTAGCAGCGATAGTAGGTGGTGGTACCTCAACAATAACAGTTGTACGACCGTGAGGAGGCTGCTTAAGCTCCTTATGGAGCTTCCAGCAAACAGCTCTGAGATGTCCTAATTAGCCACAATATTCATACTGCCAAGAATCTCCTTGTCTACGCTGATCTTGCCAAGAAGGAACAGTAGCAGGAGTAGTGATAGTAGGTGGGGATATCTTAGCAATAGCCGCAGTACGGCCACGAGGAGGTGACTTAAGCTCTGAATGGAGCTTCCAGCAAATAGCCCTAATATGTCCTAATCGACTACAATAATCACACTGATGAGAATCCCCCTATCTGCGCTGATCTGGGGTGCCCTGACGACTCTGGTCTGGGCGCTATCCACCCTGGTTGAGGATTGTGAATGAGACCCTTTAGCAGCTACAAGAGTCATCTGGTCAGTCTGAGAAGTCAAGGTCGTAGCTGAAAGTGATACAATATGGACGTGGTGCTCATACTGCTCAATCATTGCATATATCTCATAAAGAGATGTAAGCCTAATCATCGACAAGATCTGGGAATAAGGTCCCTCAACTCATCACGAAATCCTGTAAGAAACTTGTGAATCCTATCCTCCTACTTTCAAGTATGCATGAATGTCGCCTCCTTGGGCTCTATCCTCGAAATAGTAGCAAGAGGACGTAAAGTCTAATATTTAAGTCAATACTGGGTCAAATAGCCATAATAATCTTGAACCATCATATCTCCTTGCCAAGTATATGAGAGCTTTCGAGACAACTCATAAACACGAACTCCACGTATTAATTGAGAATACATCTCTAATAATGCGCTCTATAACTTCGGCACAGATCTATGAATTTGGTGAATCCAACAAACAGATAGCTCCATCGAGCCAAATAATCATCCAAGAATAGCGCAGTTCTCAGAGAATCTCACAGAATATCCAGGGTTATCATCAGCTAGCTTTGAGTGAGATTTCGTTAGCAAACCCAGCTTCCCTACACAACCTAAAAAAAGTTAGAATGAGCGTGACCACCATTCAACAACTATGTCGTAACCTTCTGAGAGATCATACCCGGCATTGCCAGTAATATAACTGTGTCAGTAGGTACTGTATACTGGTCAAACATAAAAGTGGGAGAACCAGCTGGAAGTACTAATAGTAGGGATATCAACGATAGCAGTCTCAAATCCTGTAATAGTAGTCATATCAACAATAATATGTGGGCTCCCGTGACAAAAAAACACTCTAAGATAAATAGATGAACAAAATAATATATAACAATATACTTCTAATCGAACAGTAACGATAGATAAAGAAGATCCAGAAAATTTTCAAATAATCATGTCACGATGCCTAGAAATTCAATAAATATATAATTTATTTACTACATCAAAAGTAGATCAACGGAGAAAGAAGATCCAACCCCTCCTAAAAATGTCCTAGATGCTGCAACTTTAGGAAAAAAGGATGGCGCAAAGAGATGACAACACTGCAACGAAGAGCGCGAAACACAAAGGCGTTGGGCTGGGCAGTGGGTTTATTGCTAGGTGGAGGTTTAATTGGGTTTGCAGGTTGTGGGGTGCCTATGTTGGAGTGGGGCTGTTTCACTAGTTGTAGTGGTTGGGTAGTGGCTGGTTGGGCTGTCGCTGCTGGCAGTTGGTGGGTGTGTTACTAGGCAGTGGGTTGGTTGCTGGTTGGTGGTGGTGGCTAGTAGTTGGTATCAGGTTCGTTGTGTGGCTGTTTGGGTTAGAGGATTGGTGGGTTGACTGGCTACTGGGTTACTGGTTTCACTGGGCAGTGGGTTGGGTCGTTGGTTTGCTGGTTGTCTGGCTACTGGGTGTTGCTGTGTGGTAGTCTGGGATGTGGTGCTATTTGGGTTGTGGTGCTATAGGTGTTTGTTGTTGTGGTGCTGCTAGTCTGGTGGCTGGGCAGTCGTGGCGTGGTGACAGAGGTTGTTGGTAGCAGGCTATTGCAAATGGAGGAGGCTAGGGTTAGGGTTGGCGTTTAGGGTTAGAGGTGGGGGCTAGGGTTTTGGCTTTGATGCCAACTAAAAATATCTAAGTCAGGATGATACAAACTAAGTGTAGAGCCTCATATATATAGACAAATAATAGCATAAAATGACCTGAACACCCTTTGGTTTAGACAAGACATAAAAGTCATAATAAGGGTGTAAATAAAAAACACAAGAGAAAACCCTAATAAACTAGACTATAACTCCAACAACCTCCAATTGCCATAGATGAAATGGAAGCCCTTCAAATGTAATCTAACCTCCCAATAATGAAACCTTGCTTCTAAATGCATTGGATTCTGGTCTCCACTGCTGCAACTTCACATTAACAAAATTTTGCATCAAACAAGTTTCTTCTTTGCATATCTCTTCTGCTTTTGTGATAGAATTAAAGAAAAAAAAACTGCTTTTTCTACTTGGAATGGATTTAAATCAACTTCAAGATCATTTGAAAAAGAAGAGGAAAGAATAGTATTTCATGCCTTGATAAGGAATTCTCCAGTAGTCTTAAGGTTGTAGTTGTTGAACGCGCAACCAGAGAGCAGAGCTATAGGAGCTAATAGCCAATAGGATATGAAGGTACCTAAGAACTGCTTATTACATTCCAAGGATGAAACAAACTATATGTCCGCAACGTACCACAACCTTCTTCTATTTTTCCTCCTTAGAAAACGTTGCCTCATCTTCCAAAGCATATAATTGACTCCAAGGCTTCGGATCCTTTCCATCGTTACCATTCTTCTGAATCGATCCCCTCTTTATTCCTCCAGTTTTTATTTCTTCCTTCCCACTGAAACTTCCAATAATGTTCCAAACTCAATCCATCTTTTTGCATCTACACCTTTAGGGATAATTAATCCCATCCTTCTTCCATTATTCATTTACTTTGTAACTCTAAAAAAGGCAACATATTTGCTTGCCTCCATTTCCACCCACAGACAAAATCTTGCATCTCTAAGTTTCTTAAGAAACACCCCTCTTTGATTTCAATACACAGCATCGTCAACGGCCTTCATCAACCGTAACATACCTAACTAATTAAAAACACAAGAAAATGAATCAAATCTATTTCATTCTGTAATCTGAAAACCACTCATTATTCAGCCCTTTACCAAAAAATGTTTTTTGTTCAATCTTCGATTCCATAGGAACACTAGAAGAGACAAACGAAAACTTCAAGCACGATATTCCTTTGTTTACGTCTGTAATCAACCCATATCCCTTAAAGTCAAGTAAGGGCACTTGGAACATAAGAATAGTGATACTCGGGTTTTGGTCTTTTCAGAGGAAGCGAAACAGAATTTTCATCCCTTACAGGGAAAAAAGATATTGAAGTATGATGATGTGAAGAAAATAATAGGGAGTTAGATACACAGGGACGAGTACGAAGCTACGAATGTGTATCTGTAGGGGCAATGAGGACCAATAAATCACAGCATAATACTGCAAAATTATTCTCAAAAACCCTCTGTCAGAAGTCAGAATGGTGTTTTAATTAATGTTGGAATTAGCAGTCCATGGCGCCAATACTAGAACAGGAAAAATCATCATCTCAGTTAAAAGAAAGGTCTTTCTGGATTACAATGCCAGTCGGTTTTAAAATTTGTCAATTCAAGGGATGCATGAAGTATAATTTCTGATGTAAGGGAGGCAAACACATTTAACATGCACAGTGGTCAAACAAGATACGAGATGCAAATTCACATATTACAAGTTTAAGTCTCATTGGTCAAATAAAATCCGAATTCAACCAAGGAACGTGGTTAGTGAACGATGCATCTATAGTTTACATAAAAACCACGAGTCCAAATAGCACACAGTTGAAATGGAGGTAAACAAAATGCTGGTTCTTGAATGCATACCAAGCATGAGGGACTATCATCATCTGCTGCTATTAGAATGCACTGAGAAACACTTCATCATCAGGAGTTTGTATTTACAAATGTTCCCAACAGATGGTAGCAGTCAAAGTTATTGATACAGTGCTGTTGTGTTTTTCTCAACGACAGCACCGAAAATTCTTCCAACAAAGATAATATGGCGATGTAAGCAGGGAATCGAGTAGCGGAGTAGGTCACAAAGATAGAGGCATATATACCAGAAAATAACCAAAAATCATAACTTTTATACGCCAAAAGTTGCCCTTCTTTGCCTGATAGTAGTTGTTCAACCAGCCTTCAATCAGCTTGATTTCAGTTGCTCTCTGCTGCAACAGCCAATCAGGATCCTCGGCAGTTGCAGCACGCAAATCTAAGTGATGGGCACCTAATAAACCATTAAAGAAAGGTGTCAGTTTCAGCACAACTACAAAGTTTGTCCTAGCTGCCAAGCCATTGATCTAACATCTTGAAATTACGAATGTTATTCAAAGACACCGTCCTGTAAGCGGAATCAAATTGCACAACACATTCACCCTATTTTATCCCACGATGAAAGCCATGCAGCAACTTGCATTGCCTATACATCTTTTGAAACATGCATTGCCTATACATCTTTTGAAACATACATTGCTTCTATCAGACAACACTGATAGTGTAAGTACATATTTCTCTACTACCGACTCTCATATGCTGGGTCCAGAGCCTCATCAATCAGGACAATTCATCTGGATTCAGTTTCACAATATAATTTCTTTGCCAAAAAATCAATCATGATAACCAGAAATGATACTCGAAGTGACAAATGCATGATGTGAATGTAACTATGTATAACTACTCACTAGTCAGGAGCCAACAACTTCCACATAATTGGCCTTAGGTGAAACTTCTTAGTCATATTTATTCAAAACTAAGTAGTTGCTCTTGCTCAGGTGGCCACGCATTTGTTCACACCATCCCAATCAAGTCCATGTGGCTTGTCACATGAACTAGAATCCAATTTTAAACAATGGCCACAATAAGTACCAAAATGTGTGCATGGCTATATTGTTCAGTGTTTTAAAAACCAATCCGATCCGATAGGTTGACTCAGGGAACCCGGTGAACCAGGCACTAAACCAGGCCAGTTCATAACTTAGATTGTTTGAGCATCAAACCCACTAAAGACCTGTTGAACCGGGCATTTTTTTAAAAAACTGTCCAAACCGGGCGGGTTTAGGGAAAATTGGATGAGTCACTTGAAGGCTTATAAAATGCAATTTCGGGCTAAAAATGTAGTCTCTCATCTCAGCCTCTCTCTCTAATCTCAAACTCCCTTCGTCTCTTGATCTCTCGATTGTCCCAGCAGTTACCACCAAGTGCACCACCATCATCAATCCGTTCATGACCTCTTGCTACTAATTATTCTTTCTCATGTTTCCTTTCCTTAGCAGGAGGGTTAATAATGCTTAAATCGAAGAAGGGTTAATCATTCCTTCTCAATATGTTCAATCCACTTGAATTGAAGAAGGGTAGGCCATCGGATGTCATCAAATTATGTCCCACTTCGTGTTTTCTTGCTTGAGTCACGATCAAGTGCATTGTCGGCTTTTCGATGCAATTGTGCAATTCTCTCTCAGGTTTTGAAGATCTAATTTTTGTTCCATTGTCTTTTTTTTTTTTTTCAGTTGTGTTTGTTGTTGATGAATCTTGAGATCATTTTGGTGTCAAACCGAGTTGAGCATTGATCTATACTTTGTAGCATGAGTTTTTAATTATTTTCATATGTGGATGTATGAACATTGTAAGGTTGACTTGGAAATTGGATGCTTATGGGTTTTTGTTTGATATAATATACATTAAACATGTTAATTTTTTTATTTTATTATGTTTTTTAGCATATTTATTATCATTAAAAAATATTTTTTTATTACATAACTGGTCTAACCAATGACGAAACTGTTGCACCAGCGACACATTAACCCAGTTCCTTTGCCCAATTGATGTCCAGGCTGAGTTTAAAAACCAAGATGCTGTCAACCAAATTTGAAATACAAGTCCAGATTATGGAATACATAAGTGAAGCGGTGCTTTAGTAGGGAAATAATGCGTGGTTCATTTGGTAAAGGTTGTTATTTAATAATTTGTGCTCAACAATTACAACAAAAAAGGGTCACGGTCATCAGAAATAGACAAGCATGTGTATTTGGCCATGCTTGAATATACGACCATACCTCCAAGCCCGTATGCTTCAATGGACAAGATGCATGACCATCAAGGAATGCAGCAACATTGGATAGACCTGTTACACCTATGCGACCTATAATACAAACAGAAAATAAGAAGGTTACATGGCCCAATGAGTAACCAAACATGTTCTGTGGTTCTCATCCTCGAGCATACATAGAGTTGCTATGCAATTCTTGTCCACACTAATGAGGATGTGTAGCACTTTCAAGAAATGAGGATGTGTAGCACTTTCTAGAAATGAGGGTGTGTAGAATGCAGTGTTAGAATGACCAATAGCATAGTTCAACCAAATTGCTGACGAAATTAATCACCCACATGTCAAACCGATCATGGGTAGGGCAATTGAGACATAGACAAATTAAAAATTCTAAAGATATACATATAGATAGAAATAATATGTGAGGCAACTGTCAAGTTCCACTGATGATGCAATTGAAAACAATGCACGGTTGCTTTAGCATGCCTTCAACGTAGCTAATTGCCAAAAATGAAAAATGATACGTAATTATAGCATTACCGTTTTCTGTAAGGGCAACAATAGTCTCAGATACATCCTCCAGAACACTGCACCAGATATTCGCATCCATCACAATAATATATATATTTCTGACAATACTGTAGCCAAATAAAATGACTAACAGGTCACCTGCCGCCACTACAAGGATCCAATAGGCCATTGGAGAATATGATTTTACTTCCAAACAATTTCAAGGCACTCTTGAAATCCTGCATTAGAATTCAGAATAGAGAATTTGAAGTAACACATACATAATATAAGGATGACACAAACAATTGGTTTGAGATCAGTTGTGCAAGACCCAAAAGGTAGCTCATAGAAGAAGAAATCATGCGACTATGAATATCCTTCGTAGCATATCTACAGTAAAATAGGAGGCAACTGAGGTGGGAAAGTAAAACATGAACATAAGTACATCATGAGCAGTAATGTATGCATCCAGCAATGGCTCTTGATACCCAGTTCTTACAAGGCATGGGCCAAATACATTTACCTAGAAGGTCAGCAGAAATTTTATTCAGCAAATTTGCTATCCATATCTTCATATGAATGTTAGCAGGTAGGTTACACATTCTAGAAATCCTAATGCAGAACATTTCACTTTCGTTTTGACTCATGAAAAGAGACAGTCATCTTTGGACTTCTATTGAGAGTTATTTATTTCATTTGTATGCTATCCCAATAAAAATGTTTGAATATAATTTAAAATTCAAGATAATGTGGGACCCTCTCAGATACATCAATTAAAGCAGACAAGGATGCCACTAGCATTATGTTTCCCTACAACATCAAAACTCTGGCCGTTTTGACCACATCCAAGGATTAAGGGAAGAGGACAATATAAGAGCATCTCCAACCCTTACTCAAATTTAGACTCAAATTTAAATTTGAGTAAAAAAATTCAAAAATTTTGCTCTAACCTTTGACTCAAGCTTATGCCAAATTAAGGGAGGCTCTTTTTTTTTTACTCAAAAACTCAAATCTTTAATGATAAGATTTCACTCTTTTAAAAATCTAATGGTTATCTTTACTCTCTTTTAAATTTGACTTTGCCCACTGGAACCGTTTGTATCAAAATCAAGTTTTTTACTCAAATATTAATTTAAATTTGAGTAATGGTTGGAGATGCTCTAATAAACTCTACAGGCATAGCATTTTACAAAGTATGCAGGCCACCATTCTCTCACATGTCCACCAAATTCTGTAGTGATCCATGCTGGCCTTGGTTTGACACAGAATTTCTTCTAGCACCACTCTTGGTCAGAAGTGTAATTATAATCATATGGACGAAACATGCTTGTGTCCTTGCTACTAGACAATGGCATAATCATCTCAGTGCATTCCTGTAAAATGCAACAGAAAGTGATAGCACACAAACAATTACTCACTGTATTTCTGAGTAAGAACTTCATGTGAGAATTTACACCTTAACAGTATACTTTCACCAAAAAAAGTGGACAAGAAACTTTGAATTTAGACACTCGTGTACCTGCCATATCCAACCATCTGTGCCATGAGGATCATCATCCAGGTCAAAGCAGTCAACTGCTCCGGTATAATTATAATAGACACTTATTCCTTCAAATATGCGCTCCAAAATGCTGGTTCTATCAGAACAACTGTCAATCTTTATACACACCTGACAACAACAAAAACAATTATCAAATGAAAGAAATAAAGAAATGAGAATAGACCAGAGGAATGTCCTGCCAGCTTATCTTGGTACAAACAATAATGTATCAAAGCCACTATATTTCCATACAAGAAAAGGAACAGAACAACGTAAATCCATTTGGTTAATGCTTCAAGACAGGTTCTGGTAGTCACAGAAAGTTAATAGAAAATTTTCACTTGGGAAACAGCTTGTCTGATTGCTCTATAATGATTAGGCAAAAGATTACAGGTGCACGCACATATCTGAGAATGCGAGTCAGGACTGTTTGTTTCTGTCATACAAAGACGGTTTTACTTAGAAATAGAACAGCGCATATAGTGATAAATATTTCAGGTAATGTTAATGAATACCAGAGTTTCCTACGAGGTAGGGCATAAGTAATCACCCAGCAGCACAAACAATAGTTATTTTACTTTGTGAAGAGATAAATAATGTCATCTTGATCAGAAAGCATCAGAAAACAAACCAAGGGAACGAAGACAGAAGGAATAACAACTCATTCAGAAACAAATGTACTCTCTAACTTGAAATGGTATACCCAGTCCTCACTAACCTCATTTATTGGGTTTCCAGGTAAAGGCATCACGAAGTCAGTAGGATATGGGTAGTCTGTCATGGCCAAAAAATTGTAAGCAGATTCCAACCAGTCAGAAAGATCTTCAGCTTTTTCCGGCTCCCTGAATTCATCCTTAATTGAATCAGAATCAATAAACCAGCTAAGCAAACCAGAAAAAACCATTGCAATTAAGATTTTTTTCACTTAAAATGATTACGCCACTTAGTACTATCACAGGGCATATACATGGAACTGGAAACCAACACTTTGTGTTCTGTTCTTACCGACATAAACGGAACATCTTACTGAGCAGCTGAAGGCCATCATTTTTTTGACCCTCATAAGTTATTGCATCCCATGAATCTTTTATAGTGTTAAAGCAGCTCATAGTCTCACACTACGTACATGAGGATGGAAGCATTATAATGCACAACAGATATGCATAGTTAATATATTGAAAGATGTTAATGGAAAAATGGTAGAAGAGTAACTGACCTTGAAATCATTGGAGACAATGTCATAATATGTTTCTGCTGGCACAAGATCTTCGAATTGAAGCACTGGTGCCAAAGCTGCAAGTGCGCCTATGGCAATATGGGGATATTTGAGCCTCATCCATGCTGCTAACACTGTTCCATTCACAACACCACGAGCATTTCAATTGTTAGAACATAGTTTTGAATCATACCACTTGTTGGTTTTGTATAACGAATAATTAACACAAATAATACTTGTTGGAAAATAGGATATAGGAAAACAATAAAACAAAACACAAAGATATATTGTGGTTTGATACAACATATCTACTGTGGTACACCGTACCTACATCCACGAACCAAGAATTTATATCGATGTATTATTCACTAAAATCTAGTCATCTGGTAACTGATTACATAATACTCAATCTTATTTATAGGATAAAATATTGTAACTCAAATTTATTCAGATACAACTTGATCTATATGATTCATATCACATGTCTAATATACCTATTAATGGTATATTAAAACTCTTCCAATATAATCCTATTCCATATAAGATTTTCACATTGATTCCCCAACAAACTCTCATTTATAACAATTAAAGAGTTTGGATTAAATTCTAACAGCCTCCCTTGAACCAAACTCTGATTACATAATACTCAATCCTATTTATAGGATAAAATATTGTAACTCAAATTTATTCATATACAACTTGATATATATGATTCATATCACATGTTTAATATACCTATTCATGGTATATTAAAACTTTTCCAATATAATCTTATTCTATATAAGATTTTTACATTGATTACTCAACAAACTCTCATTTAGAACAATTAAAGAGTTTGAGTTAAATTCTAACAGTCTCTCTTAAACCAAACTCTGATTCATGGTTCAAAGTAGCGGTATCGGCCATGAACTCGGAGGGTACTGATACACATCGGTCGCGGCGTCGCGGCGCGGTATCGGACGATACGCTCAAAATGCAAGATAGAAGCTCCAAAAAAATTTAAAAAAATTCTAAAAAAATAGACATTATCATTTATGCATCATATATCCACAATACATCTAAAAACACATTAAACATAATTAAAATGAAACATAAAATCACGAGCGAAAATAATTATCATTATCAATGTTCAATGTAGACATTTAGGAACATATTGAGCTGTAATCATTGCCACATTGAACGACGATGAGGTTCAAAATCGTCGTTATTGTCTCTAGGATAATACAAATTATGGTACTGTCTACCATAAGAATTAGAGTACAAGTGTGAATACAGGTCTGATTGGGTTGGTTGAATTGATTGACTAGATGACCCATAATCAGAGTAGTGTGACTGTGGAGGTTGTACTGGCTGGTTCCCATACTGATAGTACCCAAAACCACGATATTCACGGCCACTACTAGCAGAAGACTGATCATATCCATAAAAGTTGACACTATCCGATGTTGTGTTAGAAGATCCATCATGATGTCTCCTTGGAACACGATCATAGTAACCACCAGTACTAGTACTAGTAGATCTCTCAAGATGCGTAGGGCGATGGCCATAATGCCCAGCACTATTAGTACTAGTAGACCTCGAAAGCTGCGAAGGGATACCATATCCATATGATCCATGTGAATAGCTAGATTCTATACCACTACTTTGATGATGTCCGTAAGACATGTATCCTTCATATGATGTCAATCCCAAATTCTGCATATGATCGTCAATATCTTGTCGACTAAGTGAATGATGGTAGCGTCTATGGGAATAATCATCACCAATGGAAGAGTTTAAATTCCTTCGTTGTTTCATTGCCCCTGGTCTATATCCATGGTCTGTATCCTGTGTGGCATAGTAATTGTCTTGCCCCTGTGCCCATGACATACCGCCAGGTAGCTGAGTATCACTACCATCTCCAGTAGTCCCTCCACCATCACTCTTGTTGCTCTCATCTTTATCTCCACCATGATTACTAGCATCATCATCATCAGTACTACTACTATCACCACCACCACCACCATAAGTATCAGCAACATTATTATCATTATCATCATCAGAAGAAGAATCACTAGAACTAACAAAAATTCTCATAGCCTTTTTACCCTTATTAGTTGGCCTCGTATCTTTTTCAGATCTTCTGGTAGTGGCATAATTGCTAGATGTTGGTGCCGTATTAGTGTCACCTTCATCAACTACATCTCGTCCACTTCCACCTTCTTCAATGTCACGAATACCTTCATCCAGCCAACCTAAATTATCAGGTGGTAAAATTGATTCCTCCCCTTCTCTTATCCACTCATCTAATATATCATCATCATTAAAAATACAGTTCAAATCAATTGGATTATAAAAATCATCATTTTCACGCTGATATGTCAAATTTTTAACTCGCAACCGCATATTGTAGTGCACAAAAACTAGCTTATGTAGCTTTTTCATTGCCAATCGGTTGCGAAGTTTTGTATGGATTAGCGACCATGTACTCCAATTTCTTTCACACCCTGATGATGAACATGTTTGGCTTAAAACTTTGACTGCAATTTTTTGCAGATGGGGAGCTTCGTCACCATAATTGATCCACCATTCAGCTACAAAAAAAAAAAAACTGTACAATATTAGTATTGACCATAAGAGTAACAAATGATACTTTACTAAATACATATAGTTTAAATAATAAACCTGGAAGGGAGGCATGTACAGCTTTTCTAGTGAGTGCATTCCCAAACTCGCCATGTTTGTCAGTATATAATTTGATCTGCAATTTATTGTGTAATGTATTACGTAAACGACAAATATATACACATATTATAATAAAAAATTATCAAAAATCGTCATACCTCATTCATTGCCCTTGCTTGTTTATTCAAATCTGGTTCCAATCTTTTAATAACCTCTTTCAAACCAGATCTTACCTCAGGATGGTTGGAAAATTGATTAGAATACTGAAAAACTGGATTTAAGAAATAAGCTGCAAAATTTTTGATAATTTAATGTAAGTTAGTGAAAAACTATAATATTTTACAAGCTAATACACAATGATCAACTATTTATATTTTTAAATACTTTTACCTGCTGCATGTAAGTGTCTGTGCAATTGGATCTCCCATCTTTTGTCAATCACAGCCCAGTATTTCTTCCAATTTTTGACTGAATGTTGTATGGCTAGTTTAGCCCTGTCCATTGCCTCATAGATAATTGATAAAGTTGGTTTTTTGTCTTGATCAACTATTTTTAAGACTCTAACAAGAGGCTCCATGACAGATTGAACTTCTCTAGCCTTCTTCCAAAATTGGTCAGTCAAAATAAGATTTGAGACTATATCTCTTGTTTTTCTCCTCGTCTTGTCTTTGTTGAACTCACGCCATTCATCGGTGGTACACATTCTTTTCAAGTCCGATTCATAACGAATAAGACTTTCAATGGCGATAAATTCAGTGGCAAATCGTGTTATACCTGGCCTCAATAAATCTCTATCTCGGGTATGTTGCTTCATTAAGTTGACCACTTTGAGACTGTTGTAGATAAAAGATGTGATCGTCTTAGCATCATCTATGGTCTCCTTGATTGCTTTCATATGACCAATATCTTCCAGCATCAAATCAATACAATGAGCTGCACAAGGAGACCAAAATAAATGTTTTCTTTTATCCATCAACATCTTACCAGCTGCTTTAAAGCTTGCCTCATTGTCGGTTACTACATGTACTACATTTTCTTCTCCAATTTCATCAACAACTTTATCCATAAGAGAGAAAATATAGTCAGCAGTTTTTGAAATATTTGTGGTATCAATTGATGTATGGTAAATCATATTACGGTCACAATAAATCATGAAATTGATAATGGATTTCTTTGTTCTAGAACTCCACCCATCAGACATGATTGTGCAACCATACTGAGGCCATTTTACCTTCATCGAAGATATGTACACATCAAGCTCTTGAACCTCCTCCTCCAAATAAGAACTACCAATTTGATATCCTGTGGGACCCTTTATACCTGGGCCTGCATCCGCAATAGTGTCAATCATTGACTGATAGTAAGGCCCACTATCAGCTGCATTGAATGGTATGGCATTGAAGAGGAAGAACTTTGAAATAGCTTTTCCCACTTTTTTCAGGTTCGCACCTGAGAATATGCCTTTTACTGACTTTTGTTTCGACGGGAACATGTACGGATCAAGGCCACTTATAGGCATGCTTGCACCTTCTTTTGTGCTATAGCTACGTGGTGGTTCGCGCTTGATTCCTGAGCTTGATGGTTGTGATGATCGACCGCTTGCATTTGATACAGAATGCCTACGACCCTCTTCCTCCATCCAAGCCATTTGACGACTTTCCTTCATTGCATGCTTTAACTGTCTTCTTTCAAAATCACCATCTTCAATTTGATTCTCACCATCATCATCATCGTCGTCATCCAGGTTGTAACAATCTTCATCTCGTAATGATTGCATAATTCGTTCTTTTTTCTTTTTTATAGAAGCCCTTTCTTTACTACAATCACTAAGATGTTGTCTCAAGAATTGCGACACTTCTTTTGGTGCACGTGGACATCCTTCCACCTGCCCGGATACATGTGCAATATGCTGTTTCATTCGAGTAATGCCACCATGAACTATTTTACCACAATAATTGCACTTTGTAATTCGTCGATCACTACCAACAGGTGTTGCGTGTTCCCAACCAATGTCGTGTTTTTTAGGAGCCATTCTACAAATGTCATAAATTCTAAATAATTAAACAAGTAACATGCAATTGATTGAAATAGTTTAAATATAAAAAAAATTGTAATTGTAACATTTAATTTTATATAATTAGAAATAGAACATATATTTTTTATAAATAAAAAAAAAGGAAATTATATCCACTCATTTATTATTATAAAATATTGATGTATCTAATTATTACATTAAAGTTATAATTTTTTTGATCATTAAAATACAATAATTTTAATATTTATGCAATAAATAAGTAATTTAACTATGACAATAATGTAAAAACGCATGTTTGTCTTGGAGGAGTCGAACCACTGTTCTGCAAATGACAATTTGCATCACCCAATTGAGCTACTATTTTTATGTTACTTTTAAGGCAAATATAAATATATAAACATTCCATAAAAAATTAAAAAAA